GTGCTTGTGGTGTTCGGCCAATCACAATGCACTGGGTCAGCTGGCCAATCAGAGCAGACTGCGCTTGTCGGAAGGAGGGGCTTTGTAGAAAACGAAGCGTTTGAGAGAGGCGGGGCATAGAGGACCTACAATAATGTACAGTATTTGAAAAATAATGTGTTTTTTGAACATTAAAGCATGTCAACATATTCTGTTACACCAAATACACAAAATAATGATCTTTAAAATAGCATCATATGACCCCTTTAAAATAAATGCCATTTGCATTGATAGGATACTTTTTGAAGACAAAATGTGTCAACATTTTATGTCTTCATTTTTTAACACTTTATCAATTATCACCTCAAGTCTTTGTAGCATGCTTGATATCTTTAAAATAAACGCCATTAGCATTGATTTATTTTGTAATTGTGGTAATAGCATCTGCTAAAGATGTTGTATTGGTAGCTTTTGAGAATGACCTTCCATCAAAGTGCTATTCTGACAGTTTCATTAATTTATTGAATGATTTTAGTTTCACATTTCACAAATACACCAAAATGCTGGTCTTTTTCAAACAATCATTGCTGAATAATACTGATGCAATAACAAACTTAAGAACATTGACATGAATCCTCACAGACTCAGTTAAGACGGTTGTTCAATGTGAGGGTTAAATGAGAAAAGCAGTGTGGGGTTCATCACATATGGCAGAAGCTCATCTAGGCATTCAGGCCTTTTTCCATCCTTGATCTCACACACAAATGAAATATTTAGAGGGCGAGTCCAAACACAGCGGCTGTCAAATGTGCTTCCTCCACCGCACGCAGCGAGGCAGCCCTGTGCGTACGGCCCGTGCTGCCAGCACAAACTTGAACCAGGCCATTTTGGCTGGTGAAGGTTCCCCTCAGGACTGTTGGGAGGAAAAGAGACAAAGACAGAGAGAGAGAGAGAGAGAGAGAGAGAGAGACACAGAGACAGAGAGAGAGACAGAGACAGAGAGACAGAGAGACAGAGAGAGAGAGAGAGAGAGACGCTGTGCACAAACAGAGGAACTGGGACTTGTGCGGTCATCACAGTATTAACAATATAAAAATTGTTTATTAACAGACCAACAGATGGAAGGATAGAACGATAGTAGACAGAATGACAGTTAGAACGAGAGACATAGACAGACAGACATATAGATAGCTGGATAGATAGAATGACAGACAGACAGATTTAAAAATCAGAGATAATTACTATTCTCAACACAAATGTACTATTTCATCATCACTCCTAAAACAACCTGCCCTCAGAGCATCACTCAGTACTTGCATATCAAACTTAAAAAAAAGAAAGAAATCATTTTGGTAACACTTTAGTTTAGGGATCAATTCTCACTATTAACTAGTTGCTTATTAGCATGCATGTGACTAACATAAATGGCTGTTGACTTGTAAAACACATATTAATGCCTTATTCTGCATGATGACATTTTAGATCTTTTAATATCTCCCCCATACCCAAACTTAACAACTACCTTAATAAATATTAATAAGCAGTAATCAGGAGTTTATGAAGGCAAAAGCCATCCAGCTCAATTCAGTTTAAATAGTATCTGTGCAATCAAGTCGACAATATCGCTGGAAATTAAGTGTCCCCAACTAAGCAAGCCAGAGGAACCAAAACTCCATCAGTGACAGAATGGAAAGAAACTTGTTTTTGTAACATATAGTGAGAATTGACCCCTAAACTAAAGGCTGACTGCATTTTTTTTTTTTTTAAGAAAGCTTCATGTATTTTTTTTCTCTCTTTCTCCACAACGTTTCACAGCTTGACGTCTTATCACCATCAGACATTTATTGAATCATTATTAAAATCAGGGGATCTTCAGGATATTACAGTCTTTCCACTTTTCAGCAGCCATGAATTCAATAACAAAGAATATATATAAACCGTATGTATATATATATATATATATATAGAAAAATAAAATGACTGTTGCATTTAATACACGTGTGGTGTGCAAATCACAAATTTCATGTTTCCTCAGTAGATCAGTGCAATTTTAGTTTCAGTAATTTTGCTATTTTTCACATTTTTATTAAGTTTTCATATTTTTTTTCAGGTTTTGCTTATTTTAGTACATCAAGTTAAACTAAAAGAAAATGCACTCAGAAAAAAATTTATATATATATATAAAATAATATATATAATTTTGTTTATTTCAAGTAACAAAAGTTTTAGTTAAGTATAATGCTGCAGTACATGGAGCTGAAAATCAGTTTATTCATTAATCTGTGAGAATAATGGGAATGCTGCGGTTCTAAATATAAGTATTTGACATGACAGTACAGATTGTTTTTCTATCAGACTGTTGGCAAATCGACTTAAACAGAATAATGCACCGATACAAACTTTTCTTCTGCACTTTCTTGACCTGAAATGGACTCTTTTATGGCCTGTATGGAGACTCAGCGGCTGGTTTTGAAGAACTGCATCTTGCGTCCTGGACCGCACAAAGGTCTCATGAAGTCTCTAGAGAAGAGAGTTTAACAAACTCTTCTTGTAATATAAGTATACTCATGTGTTTCAACATTGTGAACTCAGACATCAGTACCAGAAGACTGTCATTTTTCATATTCAAACAGCCTAAGAGAAAGAGATACAGAGAGGAAGCAAGAAAGTGATACTAAGGCTTTAAGAAAGCATCAAGTTCTAGTCACAGAGAATCAAAGGCACAGTAAACTGTCAAAAACATGTTGACTATTAATACAGCTGAAGTGAAGAGATGTGGAGGCTGAGCACTCTTCTTGGCTATTGGTCTCAGCACAGCGCTTTGCCGTGCCGCATGTTCTGGGCACACTTTCTGCCCAGATTGGCCCCCTCCATCAGCAAGTCGGCCAGCCGGTCCAGACCCAGGCAGACGGTGAGAGGGGCGACGAGGCCGTACAGACCCCCCAGCATAATGCTCAAGGGCCAGCCGAGAACCAGCAGCACCAGCAGCCAGACGATGCCCCAGAAACACGAGCCGCACGACATCCTCTGCTGCAGGAATACCAAACACAGCTTTTTAACATTTCATTCACACGCAACTCTTTTTTTCAAAGTCACTTTACCAAGCAGCGCTGTTCTCCAGAGGAAGAATTTGGGTTTTAATTAGGATGCAGACACACTCCTGCCTTCAGAATATTAATACATCACTGCAATAGAGTTTCAGTGCTAATGAGAGCAGTAATTAGGAGAGAGTGAGATCAGATGCATCACTCCCTTAAAGGGACAGTTCACCCGGAAAATTACAATTTGCAGAAATCTACACAATCTCATCTACCTCTCCAATGGCCTGAGAGCGTTTCTCCACCAGATTTGGAGAAATGTAGCATTGCGTCACTGTCTCAGCAATGGATGCTCTGCAGTGAATGGGTGCCGTCAGAATGAGAGTCCAAACAGCTGATAAACACATCACAAGTAATCTACACCCCTCCAGTCTATCAGTTAACATCTGGAGAAGACAAAAGCTGAAACAAATCCATCAAGACGTTTTTATCTTCAAACTGTTGCTTATGAGTCCATAATAACGCTTCCTCCAGTGGAAAAAGTGTTCTGGTCTGAATCAGGAGAGAAATCTGCACAGATCAAGCACTGTTTACAAGCCAAAACAAAACGGCTCTAAACACACATGTGGCTGGAGTTTGATGTGAGAGACAACAGCAGATGGACTTTTTCACTGGAGGAAGCATTATTATGGATTATGGACTCATATTCAGTCCAGAAGCAATGGTTTAAAGTTAAAAACATTAACTGATGGACTTGAGTTGTGTGGATTATCGTGATGTTTTTATCAGCCGTTTGGACTCTCATTCTGACGGCACCCATTCACTGCAGAGCATCCATTGCTGAGACACTGATGCAATGCTACATTTCTACAAACCTGATGAAGAAAAACTTTAACTTAGATGGCCTGAGCTTGAGTACATCTGGATGTAAATCTCACAGAGGTGGTCAAATTCCTTCAGAGCATCGGAGAGAGCGCTGGATGGAGAAACCAGCTTTCAAAGGGATGATCAGGAACGACATCAGGCCTCACAACAGTTCCTGCAACACTGATGGTGAGCAAGTGCAATAATAACGCAGTATTTCATCAGTTAATTTGTTAAGTGAAAACAGTTGTTAGTTCACGGTGCATTAACTAATTATACAGGTTAGGATTTTAAAAATGTGTTTGTAAATATTGAAATTAACATTACCTGTTATTAATAAATACTGCAGAAGCATTTTTTATTTTTAAACCTTATTTTAACGGTGTTTATATATAATGCACTGGTTTGTTGTGATGAAAAACATTTTGTAAACTTTAAAAAAAAATGGTCATGAACTTGCAGCAAACATACACTTTGGAATCATTTCAGTTTATTACAGACACACTGAAATATACTTAGGTGCAATCATTTTACCTTCATGTGATTTCTCTTTGCTTAAATGACGGAGTAAAAAGTGGCACATCTTACCCCACTCCTCATTTTGATATTTAACTGATAGTAATGCTGTTTTTACACTTTTTTAAATTAATTTTTTTTACTGCAATGCCATTGAAAATGTGGGCTTCCGAAGGAAAAGAAAAAACAGGGCATTTCATAATTACAAAAGTATTTTGACTTACTTTGACTTTTATGCACTAAATGGTAGGTTTAATGGTATTTAAAAAAAAAAAGTTCATAAAATGCCAAAATGGACAAACTAGAAGGCATGTGATCAGCGTGCGGTCTGTCTACTGCAATAACTGACAGTAAAAGCCACGGCTGGATTAAGGAAATCACATCAGTCTCATGCTGCTGTGTCAGTACTTTCTGCTCTGGAGTGGCGCAAACTTGTATGCTTTTGTTCCAAATGTCCAGCTTTTAATGAGACCATTTACAAAACCCATTCTGCAAGCTGATGAAACACTACAAATAAAACACTTTAAATCCGCATTAAAGGTTAAATCACATTTATGGCCGTCGGCTGCTGCTCTTCACTCGGAGTCTCGGGACGCTCCTCATCGGCCTCCATGGGCTCCTCTGAGCTCAGCAGCTGACGAGGAGGATCCAGGAGCTGCTGCTGCTGCTGCAGAGAGAGAAGCAGTAAATGAACCATTAAACCGTAAATCAAACATAACGTATGAATCAGACACCGTACCATTTGACAGAAAGGATCCCCAGTGCTGCTCCTTTGAGTTACAATTTTTGATGCATCTTAATTTTTCAGCATCTCAGTGTTAACTTGCAATGCATTCGCCTGCATCTGTAATATTGTCCTCTTCATAAAACATGACTTATAAAATTTTTACTCATTTACTGCTTTGAAACAACACCAATGTCTATATTAACATTATAAACCCTAAAATGAGTGTAAAAACTATATTTTGTAACAAAATTTGAAAATTTGACAAAAAAAAGTTTATATAAACCTAATATTTAAGCATAATCATTGACTATTTTTGTTATGCATTTAACCGGTCAGAACAAAAACAGCAGATGGGCTGAATGAAAATGCAAATTCATTCTCTGGCAGTAAGAAATGCAGAAATACAGTAGTTACCCCAGTTAGTTCTTTACACAAAGTTAGAAGCACTACTTTATTGAGCATCACACAACATGCAAAATGCAGTTAAATCGTCTTTAAAGTCAGTTCCCTTCAGTTATGCATTACTGGATTTGCACAAATCATGTGAATGGAAATTCAAAGTCAGAATGGCAAATAACTTGCTCTGCCTCTGACATGAGTTGCGTTAAAATCAAAACAAAACATCTATAACAATTACATTTTTTATGAACTTCCAACTGAAAATTGAATTACACTACAAAAACTGACCCAAACTGGGCTCAAAACCCAAAAGGTCCCATTGGGATCTTCTTTGATTCTCATTTATTCAAGACAGAAAATCTGACAGCATTGAAAAGCACAGCTGCATCACATGTGAATTCAGCCAATGAGTGAAGCAAAGCAGCAGTTTAATTAGCATGAGGCTCTGACGTTCAAAACAAGATCCAAACTACAACAGACAGACCATCTGTCTATTTCCTTCAGAATGTCATACTCGTGTTCACCTGCAGTGTGTCATTTTTACAAATGCTACAAAATCGGGCTTGAAGCAATTTTTATTGTCATTTAAGTGCTTAACCTTTAAAGAATGTTGTCTGATAACCTCAGGAGCTCAAACTATATATTATATGAGCTGCTTAATTTTCTATTGCAAATTTCACAATATAATTACCAAAATTGGTCTGTTTGGGGTTTAAGACGGATAAAATCAAAATAAGACTGAATCACTCAGCAGGAGTTAAGTCGCTCTGCAACACACTGGATCATTTATCGTCGTATACAAGAGAGACAACAAATACATTTTTAATTGCTTAAAGTCATGTGACACCCCTTTGTGCTCTATTCAAGGATAGTTGCTCACACGTCCGAGCTGTTTAAAGCTCTGCATTATACGTCAGAAACGTCTCTGCAAACACCAGCACACTTACTTGTCTGTGCTGCTGCATGCTCTGAATCATGTGCATGTACATGTTGTAAACCAGGTTAGCCATCTCCGGCATGTTCTTGACCACCTGATCAGGATTTTTGGCATAAAAGAAAATGTATAATTTTGACCCATACAATGTATTGTTGGCCATTGCTACAAATATCCCCCAGCGACTCAACACTGCTTTTGTGCTGCAGGGTCACATGTTAGCTCTTTGCTGTCAAACCCCAGATAAAGCAGTACAAATAAAAAGTGCAAGATGAGCGCAAGGGTGTTTGCAAAAGTTATTTGAAAATATGCTTTATTTTTGCAGTTCTGCTATGTGACTAATATTATATTATAATTAGAGATGCACCGATACCACTTTTTCCAGTACTCGCCCGATACCGATACTTTTATTTTTGGTACTTGCCGATACCGATATTTTTATTGCATTTGTATATCTTTTAAATATTGGGTACAGAAACCAAAAGGGTATGTATAATGTTAGTTGGTAAACTTAATTTATCAAACAGATTCAGCCAAACCAACATTTATTCAGACACCTTCAACATTTCTCACATTATCACAGTTTATTTGCTATAGTTTAGAAAATGGTAATAAAATATGACAAGAACTCAGAGTTAAACTGTGTCAGAACAAATTCAGCTTGATAATGTTAGATAATTTTGATAGAAAGGTATGTAATAGATTACAATCAACCAAAAAAATTCAGACAGCTGTTAGTATGACAGTATTTACACAACTATCAATACTTAGTCGGGCAGCCCTTAGCCTCAATGACAGCCTGTAGTCTCCTGCGCGTGCTGTCACACAGCTTCATGCAAACCTCAACTTCTCGGTCAACAACTCGGTCTCAATAATTTTTGGACCCAAATTTGTATACATTTTACTGGTAGTCCACTGTATGAAGAATTTTTGGGTATGATTTGTCAGAGTTTACTTTATTTTGCTATCCTCACTTACATAAATGGACTGTAACCCACTAGTAAAAAAAATATAAAAAATTATATCCGTCTCTGAATAATTTTTGGTTTGACTGTATATCCTTCGGTTATTTTCACACTTAATTATGCATAACAATTTGGATATAGATTTATCGGCCAACATATCGGTTATCGGCTTTCAAAAATAAAGAATTATCAGTTATCGGCCAAAATGTTCATATCGGTGCATCCCTAAAAATAAATGATGTTTATAGTGAATGCCCCTATGAATGGTCTTATTTTTATGATTTAGTTTTAATCCAAAAAATGCGTGTGCTAAGAGAGTGAACATCAAAGATCACACAACAGAAGTGTGCGCTCTCTCTCACTCGCTATAAATCTCCTAAATGTGATATTTTCAGAAACAGAAGTCACGTTTTTCCATCTGAAACGTGCTGTGATTTATATTCCAAAGCCACTCATATAATGCAGAAACACTCAAGCAAGCAAAGCACGCGCAACGTGTGCAGGTATTTGTACTGATGCAGAATGAGAGGACAGTAGTACAGCCTAGTGCATTTCACACAGGCTGCTAGATTCACTTTCGCCAGAAAGTCATTTATGCCTAAGGTTAAAAATAAATAGGGATGCACGATATATCGGCCACCATATCGGTATCGGCCGATAAATGCTAATTTTTTCTGTTATCGGTATCGGCCCGATAAGAAAATGTTGCCGATATCTTAAAGCCGATAAATAATGCATTATTTCCTTCAGAGACACTTCAGATGCGCGCTGTTCGTTTGCAGCCTTTTGTGCAATTGTACATTGTAATATTGTGTTTATTTGATATATATCTGATTTATCTCGTATAGAATGCGTTTGGTTAAGTTAAAAGAGCGCTTCAGTTTACCGGTGATCATCTTTAGCTCAGCGCACGCAGCTCAAACAAACTCCTTTCTGCTGTCTGTTGTTCTGTTATCGGTGTTTCTTTGTTTGAATATGGCGCTTATCACATGCTGTGTGGTATCGGCGTTTGGTATCGGGGCATTTTAACGAGTACGAGTAAGAGTACAGGAGGCCAGTATCTGTACTCAGTATCTGTGCACGATACCAATACCAGTATCGGTGCATCCCTAATTATAATAATATAATAAGGCACTAATATAACTTTTGCAACGGATTGATTTTCGAAACTATCGCAAAAATCCCGATTTCTCCAGCAAGCCGAGAGCCATGTTGAGGTGTGACGCGCCGGCTGTACTCACAGAGCTGTAGTATTGATGGGGCCGGATGTGCAGCTGCAGGGGTCGGGCGGTCAGCTGGCTAAAGGCTGGCGTCAGCTCGTAGCAGTTCTGGAAAAGAGACACTCGAGCAAATATGTAGAGGCCGAGCCTCGCACGAGACATGGCCACAACCAGACGCCGCACATCTCTGAGGAAAGACAGAAAACAGCAGTCACTTCCGAGAACAGATCTGTGGAGTAGTGTTATTTTAACATACTATTGTAGTTTTTGTTATTATTTTGAATTTGATTTGACTTTTATATTGTTTACACTTCAGTTTTAGTCATTTTATTGTTTTTATAATTTTTTGTTTTAACGTCAATATAGAATTTATTATTTTTTATTTTATTTCATTATTTTTATTTATTAATTTTAGATATTGTAGTCCTTGAACTAAAACTAAACGAAAACGAGAACTTTTAACTAGCTGAAATAATAACTTTAAATTTTTAACATTTTATTTTATTTCAGTTAATATTTATATTTTAAAAATACAATTTTTATATTTAAAAAAACATTTTAGAAATGATTAATTAATGAATTATTTAATTGTTATGTGTAGCTAATATTTTTAAACAACAGCTTTAAATATGCCTTGGTCAATTTTAAAAAGTGATGGGTATTATAGTCAAGTAAAACCATAAAAACGTTTTCATAACTTGTATAATATGTGACCCTGGATCACAAAACCAGTCTTAAGTGTCAATTTCTCGAAATTGAGATTTATACACCATCTGAACGCTGAATAAATAATATTTCCATTGATGTATGGTTTGTTAGGAGAGGACAATATTTGGCTGAGATACAACTATTTGAAAATCTGGAATCTGAGGGTGCAAAAAAATCTAAATATTGAGAAAATCATCTTTAAAGTTGTCCAAATGAAGTTCTTAGCAATGCATATTACTAATCAAACATTAAGTTTTGATATATTTATGGTAGGACATTTACAAAATATCTTCATGGAACATGATCTTTACTTAATATCCTAATGATTTTTGGCATAAAAGAAAAATCTATAATTGTGACCCATACAATGTATTGTTGGCTATTGCTACAAATATCCCCCAGCGACTCAACACTGCTTTTGTGCTCCAGGGACACATATATATTATAATATTGTCATATAATAATATAACAAATTTAATTTCAGCTAGTTTCCAAGGCAAAGCATCTCATTCTCATTTAGTTTAACTTAACAAAACTGAAATAAAAAGTAATATGGACATATTTAAAAACTAAATGACAAATAAAAATACAACATTACTAAACCTTAAACTAAAATTAACATAATCTAGTATTATTATAACACTGATTTTGCTACATTTAACCACATCTTTAAACCAGAATTAGATGGTTTTAAATAAGTCATATGTGGTTTTTGTTACTTTAAACTACATATTTTAATGATAATCAAACAGCCACAGGAAGTGCTCACCTCAAATGTCCTACGGCTTTGGTGCGGACCAGCGAGAGGATGATGTAATCGTTCTGTTGACCCTGGAACCTGTCCACTGTGGTCACCTACAAGACAAAGGGCAGTCTGTTATATAAGCGACTCAGTGGCTCTTTTCCCAGTTTAATGAGCCTTTATTTGAACTGAAGAGCATGAGCTCCTCTGCACTGGTTTAGTGCTAGTTAGATTTGCACACTATACTGTCTGATCAGATCTAGATTTCTGACGTTATGGACTGTCACTTCATCCCGTTGAAACCATGATCGAAACTAATTCACATCCGAGTGTCAAAGGAGAGAACGTGTGTGTATCTCAGAATGTGATCAAGTCAACAGGACTCTTCCTTTCGCTCAGAAACTCAGATAAGTTCTTTCATTTGTTACATTTCATATACTCCCTCGTATCTTCAAGTAATAAAATCTTTCTTTTAATCACACCGTGCTTTTGGGCCTCGAGGAAATTTGCGCTCCTCAGCTGAAACTGGATCTGTGGACGACGTCTTACATGAACACACCTGGAAATCTGTGACGGCAATAATGTCAAGACGGAAGGAAGTTAATATTTGATTTTCTCCATTTGATTCGACACATTTAAAACAAACACAAGACTAATGCTAAATGGTGTAATATTGTACAATATTGAGATGATACCATGAGCAGGACTGGCAAGTGTGCTGCTGTCTTAATTCAGAGGGCTAGCGATATAAAGTACATCTGCATTTACATTGTCATCTATCAGACACTTTTATCCAAAGTGACTTACAAATGAGGAGAATAGACATATGTAGCCTAAGTGCTGTAAGAAGTCTTGGTTAGCTTAACGCAGTACACGTAGCAAGGGTTTTTTAAAGGGGTCATATGATGCGATTTCAAGTTCTCCTTTCTCTTTGGAGTGTTACAAGCTGATTGTGCAGAGATAAGATCCCTGAAGTTGCAAAGACTAAAGCCTCGAAACCAAAGAGATATTCTTTATCAAAGTTAAGACTCTGCCACGCCCCCCTAAAACGGCTCGTTCTAACACGCCCCCACATATCTACCTCACTATGTGGAAATATTTGCATAATGCCGCCCAAATGTGCACACAAAGAAAGAAGGCGTTGAAGCAGCCATGTCAGGGAGACCCTGTGTGTTTCTAGGTGAAAGCAAAAGCACTTTATTTGGCCTTCCGAAAGTAGATGCATTTAGGAATCTTTAAGATGACTTACAACAGAACAGCAATGCATTTTATGGACGACCGTTTCGTGAACCTAGGAGAGGAGGTAATTCAGAATCAGCTACTGTTTTGTTATTAGTTTAAGTATTTGCTATTGATTGCTCAAATGCGGAGTTTTGCGCATTGTGTGTGTGTGTGTGTGCGTGCGTGTGAGCGAGAGAGAGCGGTGTGTGTGCGTGCGCGCGCGCGCAAGAGAGAGAGCGGTGTGTGTGCGCGTGCTGCACAGAAAGCAGTTGTAAAGCACAGTATTCCTGCTATGACTGTGGAGTGGTCAGCTGTTTTACACTGATGTGCTGAAACGGAGTTCTCCCCAAAACCAGCCCAGCAGTCTGTCTGGATCTGCTCATGACATTACAGCAGATATTTGATTTCTTGTGGCTGCGTGTTAAAACAGGCTGGCGTCTCATTATCATTCTGTTCTTCCTCGGTCTCGGTGGCTGGATCTCTTCCTCTCAGCAGATGGTGTCCGATGTGAAATTCATCAGCGAGTCTCGAGGAGCGTGCACACGTGCTCAGTGCCCGCTCAATACATGCCGCGCATACTCGAGTGAGACTGGCCCATTTCTGTACTGAAGTGTTAAATGCTAATAAAGGACTGAGCTGATCTCATCTTCAGCAGAGCAAGCAGTTTAACCCCTGCAAAAGAAAATGAGTCTGCTACAGGCCTTATGCACTATGCCAGGGATGGCGAACTCAAGTCCTGCAGAGATCAGCTCCAACCCTAATAAAATCTCACCTGCCTGTAGCTTCCTAGTAACCCTTCAGACCTTGATTAGCTTGTTCAGGTGTGTTTGATTAGGGTTGAAGCAAAACTCTGCAGGGCTGCTGCACTCCAGGACCGACGTTCGCCACCCCTGCACTATCCTATTAGATTTAATACGCTGCTGACACAGATTCAATCAAAATACCTTTCATATCTTAAAGTTCAGCCAAAAATGAAAATTGTAATTTACTCAACCTCATGTTGTTTCAAACCTGCAGAATTTCATTCTTCTGTTGAACACAAAGGAAGATCTTTTGAAGATCCAAAAAGGGTTTTTCCATAGTTTTAATATTATAATACCATGCACATTTTTACTTTTTTATTTAAAGAATAAACCAATCCAATATAGTTGACATTTGAGACTTATATATTTTCAGTTAGTGTTTTCAGCTTATTTTCAAATAAAAATATGGCATGCAGTTACTTCAAACAATGGTATAAACAACATTCAATCAATCTAAATTGAGATAATTGTAAAAATCGCAATTACAATTTCAAGGGAAAAATCGAAGCCCTAGATGTATGTGTATATATATATATATATATAGTATGAAATTCTACTCACCCTCATTTGTCATTACTTGTGGTGCACAAAGCAGTCAAATCAAATAAAAGTACAGATAACCTAACAGAATTCTGACCCAGTAAGTATTTAAGTAATTTTTGTATTGAACAAGTAAAATGAAAGCACTTTATTTTAATCTTAAGTATTAAATGTAAAAAGTACTGATCAATGAAATGTGTATTTCTAGGGGTGGGAAAGCCGACTTTGAATATCAAATTTATTTGTGCATTTTTATTAAATTAGAAGTATTTATTAAAATAATTATTATTACTAAGAAATTAAAACAAATGTATGTTAAGCATACAAAGAAATATCGTAAAAAAGGGAACAAAGAAAAAAAAAAGCAAGTATTTTAAGAATCTGAAAGACAAATGCATTGAGGGATTTTTCTCTTTTCTTACTCTTAATGTAGTTAAATCATGACAACTCTCTGAAGATTTTAGCATGGTGATGGATGTATTTGGTCTTGGCGGAACAGACCTGCTACGCTGCTGCTGTTGGTTATTGCTGTAGTTGTAGATTATTGCTGCTGCTGCAAGCAAGTACAGGAACTTGCTACTGCCAATGCATGTGGCGATACGGTGCCGTGAGTATTTAAGACATACTGCTGCTGCACAAATAGCATATAAAATAACCCCGTAGCAGATCTATACAGGTGGAGCTAGGGAAGGTGGAGGGTTTCAGAGAACTATGAAAGCGCGCTGCAGGAATCTCAAGTGAGTGCTAGCCAGCCATATAAATGCAAGGCAGTAAGCTCATTGGCTGCATATGCAGCATGAACCAATCAGCTTGTGCCAAGTCACTTAACTCTCTGAATATCATCAGTTGCATTAACAACCAGTCAGCCTGCGCCATCTAGAGTTTCATGACTGAACTATATATTTAAACTTAGATTTGTGGATAAAGATATTGAATATGTATTGATCTGACCTTTTTACAGCAGGTTTAATTCACAGAAAACTGACAGTCAAGACCTAAATACGATTTTCATTTACAATCATTAATACTAAACTCTGCATTATTAACTTTTCACGCCATCAGCTCTTGGTTCATTTCGAGTCAGTCATGAACAATTCACTGAACTCACTCTGATCAGATTGAATCAGTGAGTTGTTGACTCAAGAACGGCTGCAATTGAAACGGTCTAATTCGCGAATGAATCATTCGGTGCGATATGCGAACCGATTCAACAGGTTTACTGAAAAGAATCAGCTGGTTCACGATTTCGACATCACTAACGCTTCTGTCGATTTCTCCACGATATGTTTTTATGAAATGTCGTGGAGTCAAAAGTGCGACATTATGCTCTGAAATGTTGCGAAATAAAAGTTTACCAAAATAAAAAACACTCTGATAAAGTACAGATATTTGACAAATGTAAATATCGAGTAAAAATACCACTGGTCACTACAAACTCATGACTTTTTTTTTCATCCATTGAAAACATGAGATGTTAGGAGACCTACGATATCAGGCTAAAAAAATTAATCATATGACCTCAGAAGACTCTGAAATTGATCACGGACCAATTTTATAGCCTCATTAACTTCCAATGTATTCCAATTAACTAAATTTCTCGTTTTTGTTCCACAAAGTAAATGATGACTCCTTTAAATCCAGTCTCTTCCAGTGAACCACAGAAGAATAGTCTTCATTACGTCAATGAGATTGTTGTTCTGCAGTCTTGAATGCTCATAAACTAAATGTGTCCAAATGGCAGTCGTCTATTTATTTGGTTTGTACTCAGCCAGTAGGACCTTTACACGCTTTAGTGAGTCCGTCTGCCAATCACCCTCAACAACAAATCTAAATTTTTTATGACGGATGAAAGTTTCGGAGGCAGTATTTAAATGTGTTTTTTTTTCTTTAACTCGTGAACATTTCGGACTCACTGTGCAATGGCCTTTACAATTGCAATAAAAGTTACACGGTCAAAAAGCACTGCATTTGACTACAGGAATAGTAAAACCAGAAAACCCTAACAGGAACATGCAAGTCTAATTTCTAACTACTTTCTAATTTGACTAAAAATGTTTGATCATTATGCAACACCATACCAGTGATGACGCAATGCTTTATTTAAAAATTTAATTGTCAATAATCTTTACCAATTGTGAAGTATTACAAATAATCTAAAAAAAAATATATGCAAAACTAAATTGAACCCTTCTCTTGACCTAATTTGACTATCAAAAAAAAAGAAAAAGGCTAAACCTATGGGTTGAAATTGTAGGTGGAACAGCTCTGAGCTTAAACTTTACCTAACAGAGCACTGCTGATATGGCAACAGCTCCAGTAGGACACTAATAAGGGTACTAACCTACTAATAAGAGACGCTTCTTCAGCAGCTGCAAGCACTGACTGCGCAAACAATGTCCTTCCTATTGCTCTGTGAGAGGCTAATTCATACGGCCCATTAGAGCCGTGTGTGTGTGTGTGTGTGTGAGTGTGAGTGTGTGAGAGAGAGAGAGAGAGAGAGAGAGAGAGAGAGTGTGTGAGTGAGTGAGTGTGTTGGCATGGATACTGTAATGAGGACACTTCCCTCCAGGACCCCAGTAAACAGTAGCGGGGCACATAGCCGCACTCATGTGACTTGCACACTGCATGCCGTACGCTCATCACTTATGAACAATGCCGAGTTTCAGGAGCTTCTCAAAAACCCATGTCATGAAAGTTAGGCCTAATCTTTCCTCTACTTAACATAAGAGGATGTTACTTTTTTGGTATATGAAGATCATATTGAAATGTTTATAGATGCCTTTAATTAAATCTTTGCTAGTTTACCATTATATAAAGATTTTTTTCCTTTTGTCCCAGATCCAAACTGTCAATTACAGAAAAAAATCCATCATAAAAATATTAACCAGAGAATTAACAAAAAGTGATCAATATCTATGGTGTGATTTCAATTACATATACAGTGGGGGAAAAAAGTATTTAGTCAGCCACCAATTGTGCAAGTTCTCCCACTTAAAAAGATGAGAGAGGCCTGTAATTTTCATCAAGTGAAGACTTACAGAAAACGTTTGACCTCTGTCATTGCAAACAAAGGGTATATAAAGTATTGAGATGAAATTTTGTTATTGACCAAATACTTATTTTCCACCATAATTTGCAAATAAATTCTTTAAAAATCCTACAATGTGATTTTCTGGATTTTTTTTTCTCATTTTGTCTCTCATAGTTGAGGTATACCTATGATGAAAATTACAGGCCTCTCTCATCTTTTTAAGTGGGAGAACTTGCACAATTGGTGGCTGACTAAATACTTTTTTGCCCCACTGTATATATTTTTAGAAAAATAACTGCACTAAAATGTTTTTTTTTGTTTAGTTTTTTTTCCATTCAGCTAAAAACAAAACAATTAAATGGCACAAAAGAAATCAATTTTTTAAATCAACTTTTAAATCTAAAATGAAAAATAACTGCACTAAAATGTTTTTTTTTTGTTTAGTTTTTTTCCATTCAGCTAAAAACAAAACAATTAAATGGCACAAAAGAAATCAATTTTTTAAATCAACTTTTAAATCTAAAATTGTTTATACACATAATTAAAATATTTACTGTAATAAAACATTTCATGAGTTATTCTTACGTAAATCAAAGTAAATATTATTTAACTGAACATAACTTTTTTTATTGTGTCATTCACTTTCATAAAAAAAGTGAAATAATTAATTTGTATTTAAGATAAATACAATTCTAGCTATGAAAAGATTCTGACAAAAGGTTCTGCCATTTCTTCCAAAATTGTATCAAATGTAATTTCCGCCACATAATGAATGACGATTTCTGAGGTGTTTTGAAAATGACACTTGTTTTTGATGATTCAGGGAAGAAAGGAACGCTTGTGACGCACCTGTATGTCATATAACGGAGCTCACCTGATAAAAGTATGGGTTGGGTTCAGATTCCCCCACGCCGTTGAAGTCCTCCACGTTAACGAGCTGGAAGTCGTAGGTGAATCCAGGGTTCGGTGTCTGGAACTCGGGCTGGAGCTGAACATGAGGGAGGTTCCCCAGCTGCTTATAGCGCCAGTTATACAGGTTACACAGACTGCCACACACACACACACACACACACACACACACGAGAGAGAGAGTCAAAATAGGACACGTCACATCAAAAAATGTATCTGAGGACAGAACAGCTCTGCTCTGAAACCTAGAGAGCCATCTAACTAAACCGCTTTTTAAAGCATCGCATCTTATTTTACACAAAATGTGTGTATTTTTTTCTGATTATTAGAATGTTTATATACTATTACAGCATGTAATATTTCGAATGAGCTTTTATTTTTATACTTACACTAGTGTTCTTTTTAATTTAGGTTGTGTTTTAGTAATTTTGTTAGGTACTTTTGGCATTATTATTATTATATATATTTTTTTATTGTGCTGTTTTTATCAGCTGTTTGGCCTCTCATTCTGACGGCACCCATTCACTGCAGGGTATCCATTGCTGAGCAAGTGATGCAATGACACATTTCTCCAAATCTGATGAAGAAACAAACTCATCTAATGCAAGCAAGCCTATATGATTCTTTTGAGGCAGCTTTCACACTAAAACCAATAATGACATCACATGGGCACGTATTAAAAGCATCTTTCCACTGACCTGGCCCGTGCTCTGCCCTGGGCGTCCAAGTCTACAGTAGGGACACCCAGACGCACAAAGCGAGTAAAAAGTGACTGCTCCATGTTTGAATATTTCTGAAAGGCCATGTTCTTAATGACAGGAGGCAACTGATGATGATCACCAATCATAATCCAGCGTTTGAGTCGACTGTAGCCGTCCTCTGGATTCTGCATAACACAGAGACAGAAACGTTTATTTGAGTCAGTAAGGTTATGTTACAACCCATTTTGATGAGTGAAAACAACGGCATGCATCACATTTGCTGAATGAAATCCAATACTTGATTCTTGATCATTCTGGTTCAAGTACGTCACACTTTATCACTACATGTGATGTGCATTTTGTAGCATTTTTGCTTTCGACATCATCTTCAATAATATGTCTTTTTTTTAGCAAAGAAATCTGCATTTCAAATATGACAAAGTAGGCCTTATAGGCTTAAATGTGAGAGTCACCACAATATTTTAAATGACTATGAATTTCACAAGGTGAGGTTGGTGTTTAAATGTCTAGCGGAGGAGATTGTGTTTCTTTCTACTTCCTGTCATTTGTCAGAAAAAGCATCTCTGGTTTCCTCTCAGCATGGGCGGCACAGGCAGAAATTAAGTATCTGTTTCTGTTCAATCTGTGCAGTGAAGCGAGGTTAACCCAGCTGGATATTTTCAGGACTGCATCCACTGGGAAATTAATATTTGATGCCCTTCTGCATTAATATTAATCCCATCAAAGCATTCAATTTTGATGAGGCCACTATTCAACCCCGAGTCTTCAGCAGTGACGCTTGAGAGACAGCGATGCTCAAGCAGACAGACCCAAACACAGACACACTACGGCTCTGACGCACAACTTTATTACAGGAGCGTGTCTTTGTTGTCAGCAGATGAACACAAAGGATGAAAGGGTGAGAAATCAGCATCAAAGAAAGGGGCTTGCCAGAATAATGGGCTTTAGAAAGAGAGGGGGGAGATTATTATTGATGGGTTTCTCTTCATGGATGAACACACTATAACAAGCTCTGATCAGAGCACATACGTGCAAACGATAGTGGACTTTACCGATACCGATAGCTAGGTTGGACCACTCTGGCCGATATTGATTAATCAAGCGATGGATGCTGAACGAAAACTAAAATAATGCTTTACAATTACTATTAGCTATTAATAGAAAGTACTGAACCATACTTTGTAAAAATTTGAATTATTATATTGATCATAAAGTTAGTTAATAGTTTATTAACTAATGTTAACAGAATCTTAATGTTACAAATGGACTCCTATTGTAAAGCGCTACCATTTAATTTCAGCAGTCATGCTTAGAGATGGCCAAATTTAAATATCTACACAAAGGCCATAGCATTTAAATTAGCCTACATAAATATGGATATTGCATGTATACTCTCACACTTTATTTGCTTCTGTTTTAGAACACTTGATAATTATCTGATCAAATTAACAAAACATGTTAGTCACACACTCGGCAAAAGCACTGCGTCTAGGAGATCAGGCGCATCACGTTCAATTCAAAACGGTTTATTTAAATCACTACATGGACATACGTTTACTTCCAAGAATGAACAATGCGGCATAGATGAGTTTGAAGTGCAGTGTTTAAAAAATAAATGGCAAACGGAAAGAGAAAGCATGATATATATTATAGCTCTCTAAATGAAGCATACTTTATTAGAGCCACAGAAATACACAATTAGACACAATACACAATTATACAGCCTAGGGTGAAGTCATTATGTACATTAACAACGATTTGGGACAAATATGATGTAATTTAATGGAAAACTATGTTAATGGAGCTCTGTGGCACGGCAGGATTTTCTGTTGGCTGCATTTAAATCCGCATCTGAGGTTTCCCGCTCTATGCAGCGCAGCCTCACGTGTCAAAAACAGCACGAGGTGTCAGTGGTTTCTGCCTCTAGAGGCCGCTCTCGCTCTCGCACTGTATAATGACAGCAGACTCTTCTCAGCCGCTCCAGCAACGGATGCATCCCTGAAAACTATCGGCATGGATTTTTGCCGATAGTTCCAGCAATCAACTATCGGTGCCGATTAATCGGCAAAACCCCTCAATCAGTCGACCTCTACTGCAAACTACATGTGACCCTGGAGCACAAAACCTTAAGTCGCTTGGGTATATTTTTAGCAATAGCCAAAAAAAACATTGTATGGATCAAAATGATAGATTTTTTTTTATGCCAAAAACCATTAGGATTTTAAGTAAAGATCATGTTCCATGAAGATATTTAGTAAATTTCCTACTGTAAATATATCAAAACTGAATTTTTGATTAGTAATATGCATTGCTAAGAACTTCATTTGGACAACTTTAAAGACGATTTTCTCAATATTTAATTTATATTAGAGTTGATGAACATTTGATTTTTCAGGATTCACAGATGTAATAGAAAGTTCAAAAGAACAGCATTTATTTGAAACCGAAATCTTTTGATAAATATAATGTGTCCTTGCTGAAAAAAACTTGTTGACCCCAAACTTGAATGGTGGTCTTTATAAACGTACAGAGTAGGACAAAAATCTACCCTAATTTCAGCCCTACCTCCAGCTGGGTGAAGATCTTGCGGATGTGGCGATAGCAGCCCTCAGCGATGTCCATGTCGTCCTGATACGACTGGCCCTTAAACACCGGCTGAGGAGCGTTGGAGAAGTACTTATGGAAGGGAAAGTGTGACGCCACGTCCTCCGTCTTCACCTCTCGGCCGGGTTTTGGCTTCACTTTACTCATGTATTCCTCCCAGCGTGACATTACCTAAAACAGCCGAGACAGACAGACAGATAGGATCAGCGCCTGGGGATTTCATGGGCAGAACTCATTAAGAGCACTTCACTGGACACACAGCCTCGTCACAATCCACACTTAATTAATGTTTGCCTGTAATCTGTGATCTGAGCTAATGGTCCGTACAGATCCCCCGAGGTGCTGATATGAATCTACTGGCCACAGCGTGATGGATCAAACCGCAGCGAGAGATAAGAGCAAAACAAATGAAAGCAGACCTGTGTGAACCTCAGCTCAGATTCACGTCAATGCTGCGCTCCAGACCAGCGGTTCTCATTAGTGATGCACCGAAATGCAATCAAAATTGAAAAGTTTTTATTTAGCCGGAAACCTAAAATAGTCATTTAATTCATCAAATTTAATAAAATCGACATTCAAATAAAAACTGAGTTGCATATTTATACAGCATTTAAATTGCACATGAAGCAGTTTTATATATAAACTTAGTAAATAAACTTCTACTTCAATCCGTTGCTGAAATAAACGTTTATACACGGTGGTTGTAATAACTTGTTTTCATGACAGATTTATTGAAACACACATTAATAAAGATGACAGGTTAAGTAAAAATATGAATATGTATGAAAATTTAATTAAGTGCAATGAGGTTTGCTATAAAACTGACAGAATTTGAAAGCCGAGACTGTTTCATATTAGTAGCAGGATTGTAAAATGAATCGACGTGATTAGGATAATTTGATAAAATGAAGAGAGCGCGCCGTAGTTACGGATCATTTTACTTTTTTTTTTTTTGGTTTTTTCATATCCTGTTACGGAGACTAGGGCTGCACGATATATAGTTTCAGCATCGATATTGCGATGTGAGCATCTGCGATAGTCACATCACAGGATGTGCGATGTTTCGTATAGGCTACTGCTCGTTATATTTATGCTGATTGTTTTCCTTGCTCACACACAGACACTGTCTACACCGGACGCAACAGCTGTACAGAGACATTTACATTTACCCATTTTAAATACATTTAGTAGCAGAGCTATTGCAAGGGATTTTCAGTTCTGGAAATCCATTTATCCTTTGTTGAAACTTCTACGTCGTCGAAGAGAGCGCAGGTCACGGTTGCTTAGCAATGGCAGACGCCACGAAAGCGCAAGGTCCCGAGCGCTTTGGAAAGAAGGAGAAAGTGGTGCGACTGGCGTTTTCCACCCGCGACATGTGAACGGCCCCAAAGTCTGTCTACACCGGACGCGACATCAGTTTACTGTCGGGGATTTGTCGTGCCGCATCCAGTGTAGACAGACAGCATTACTGATTATAATGGGTTCATTGTATTTTGTCGCGTCGGGTATAGAGACAGTGAGAGCCACGCCGATGCACGTGAACACTAATTTCGGTTCACTTCTGCGTCTATTTGTGCCTGAAATACTGTGCTCTGCAAGTATCCTTGTAAACACAGATGCTTATGGCTTAGGTGAAGGGAAACAATTGAGAAAGAAAAGGGACGTGTAACAGTATATTGTTTTACAGAAGTTTAAAGGAACACTCCACTATTTTTGAAAATAGGCTCATTTTCCAACTCCCCTAGAGTTAAACTGTCGAGTTTTACCATTTTCGAATCCATTCAGCCGATCTCCGGGTCTGGCGGTAGCACTTTTAGCTGTAGCTTAGCATAGATCATTGAATCTGATTAGACCGTTAGCATCTCGCTCAAAAATCATCAAAGAGTTTCTATATCTTTCCTATTTAAAACTTGACTGTTTTATGTAAAACTTGACTGAAACTTGTGTACCAAGACCGACGGAAAATGAAAAGTTGTGATTTTCTAGGCCGATATGGCTAGGAACTATACTCTCATTCCGGCGTAATAATCAAGGAACTTTGCTAACGTACCATGGGTGCAGTAGGGCGCAATTATATTACGCAGTGCCCGAAAATAGGCTAACTTCCGTCAACATGACCAACGTGTCCACCTGCTTGCACAGGGAGCATGCTGGGGACTATTTTCGGGCACTGCGTAATATAATTGCACCTGATATTACATTTAATTTATTTTCATTCTCTATTAAAAGCTCTTCAAAACGATGTATGATTTGTTGGAATCTAACGACAGATGACTGAGCTACACCTGTTTGAAGTCGATAGATTGAGCAAACTCAATTCTGAGAAATCGAGTTAAGGTTTTCTGAAGGTTCCAAAACAAAATCACCTAACAACATCTTTTCCTCCAGTTCTTTTCTTAATATTAATTACTATATTAATAATCACGCGCATGCTGAACGTAAACAACGCTCATTACGCTGATTACGTTCAGTGGATACTCTCCAAAATGGCAGAAGACGGTAACTCGGGGAGAAGAATTGTTGAATAAATTATGTTATTGTTTTCTTTGCACACAAAAAGTGTTCTCGTAGCTTTGTAAAATTACGACTGAACCACTGATGTCACATGGACTATTTTACCGATCTCCTTGCTACGTTTCTGGACCTGGGAACATTTCAGTTGTGTTGCTGTCTATGGAGGGTCAGAGAGCTCTCAGATTTCATCAGAAAAATCTTAATTTGTGTTCCGAAGATGAACGAAGGTCTTACGGGTTTGGAACGACATGAGGGTGAGTAATTAATGACCTATTTTTCATTTTGGGGTGAAATAACCCTTTAAGATCTTAAATGAAACTTGCGTGACTTTTCTAGGTATAGAATTTTTTTTTTTAAAGGAGCAATTTGAAAGCAGATGTTTGAGCTACCATCTTCCTTCGTACAGAAATGACAAGTCAAAGAGAAGCAGATGCATGAAGCAGATCCTGTTCAGAGAGGAGTGACGTGTGCATGTAGTTGAGTACCTGGTAGAGGTAGAAATGTCCAGCAGTCTCACAGGTGTAGGAGACGTCACCAGGAACATCTAGACTCTCCTGCAGACGCGCCACCTCCCGCAGGAGCTCCAGACGGCGAGACAGAACATAGTTCACTCTTCCATACCTGACACAGACCAGAGGACAGTTCATACTCAACTCTACCACATCTCAGAGAAGACTATCCTGTCCGGGACAGAAACCCATTTGCTAACTCTGTATCAGGGCTTGATGCTTCATTTTTTCCAAGAAACATGTGCTCCTAATCTGCGGAGCAATTTAGAAACATATGTGACCCTGGAGCACAAAAGCAGTGTTAAGTCGCTGGGGTATATTTGTAGCAATAGCCAACAATACATTGCATGTGTCAAAATTATTGATTTTTCTTTTATGCCAAATATCATTAGGACATTAAGTAAAGATCATGTTCCATGAAGATATTTTGTAAATATATCAAAACTTAATTTTTAATCAGTGATATGCATTGCTAAGAACTTCATTTGGATAACTTTAAAGGCTATTTTCTCAATATTTAGATTTTTTTGCACCCTCAGATTCTAGATTTTAAAATAGTTTTATCTCGGCCAAATATTGCCCGATCCGAACACACCATTCATCAATGGAAAGCTTATTTATTCAGCTTTCATATGATGTATAAATCTCAATTTTGAAAATTTTCCCCTTATGACTGGTTTTGTGGTCCAGGGAACTACTAGGAAAAAAATAATTACTTTTTAGAGAAGAAACCTTATTGATTAATGCGTTTTATAAAGGGATACAAGGAGACATCTAGGGTGTGTTCACACTAGTCATGTTTTGTTCGATTCTCTGGTGCGATTGCTCTGTTAGCGCGGTTCATTTGAGTAAGTGTGAATGCTGCCACCCAAACCCTGGTGCATCCCAAACAAGCGGACCGAGACCGCTAAAAAGATGGGTCTCAGTCCGCTTCCAAATGAACTCTGGTGAGGTTTGAATGAAATATGAATGCAACAGACCAAATACTTCTAAACAAACCAAAAACAGGATGTAATGATAAGATGTGACGCTATGCGACATGATTTGACAACGCGGAACGAGTGGTGCATCCAAAATAAAATGAGCTGAGCGCAAGCGCGGAGCAACGAGGAGGTAAAGTGCCTTTTATGAGCTCTTCATGAGTTCGCAGGTGGTAAAAATAAAATCACATGTACACGCAACAATGAGCACACTTAGTCCAGCAGACAGCATTAGGTGTGTTTGACTTAAAGCGGCGCTGATGTCATACACTGATTGGTCTGCGCAGCGAAGCTTTAAGACAAGCCCACCTACGGATAGATTCACTCGGCGCACCAGTGTCGACACTTGATGGAGGGCATGTCTGAAGCTTTGTGTTGACACGACTTTTATAGTGACAACAGCCAATCATATTACTTTTCTGGTGTTGCATGAACATGAATGGCGATCTAATTGGCTGACACCTGCGTTGGCACTTGAAAATCTGAGTAAGCAAGCAACGGCAGTGAAATAACGCAACGGATCCACAACTCAATTCGGCAATGCTTGACGTCACTCCATTCAAACTAAATGACAGGCGTTGATGCCGACGCCCCGTGTGAATGTACCGCTACTGTTTGGGGTGTTTGGCAAGTTCTGCCATGAAATATACGTCATTCAACCCGAACAATCAGATTGTGAACGTATCACTACACCTTTAGGTTCGGTATCTTTAGGTTGAATTTCAGAATCGATTCTGAGCTTAGTTTTTAACCAGATGCACGATGACGCCGAGTTTGCTTTAGAAACACCCGTATTCTGCTGGCTTTTTCTCACCCACAGACACCACTCGCACCTTCCATAAAATAATCTTTCATAAAGTTCGGAAAGGTTGAAGTGAATTACAAGGACATTAGCGGGCTTCATTGCACAGGATGCACACTTTGTTTGATGTTATACTTGAAGTGTGCGGTCTCGCTCGTCTGTATTTTCCATACAAATGCTCTACGAAGTCATCCTTTATGTTGTTTGGAATGCAGTGGACTTATATATTTAAAATATGAACCTCACTAAGAGAAAGCTGCTTTCAATTTCAAATGCTGACGCGCGCTTTGTTTGTGAAGACTGCTCGCGCATGCGGCTGTGTGCGACTTGGTGTTAGTGGTTTAAAGTACTTGCATCTCAAAATGGTTTTATGATGCAAAATTAATGTGTAAACAGCCAGTTATGTCTTAAGGGATTAAACGGACAGGACAAACCACATTACCTCTTATATTTCAAAAGAGAACCGTGCGTGAATGCAGCTTAAAGGTCCCCTGAAATGCTTAGAAACACGCAGCGTTACTCCATGTGTTGACGATATTTTAACTGAAACAGGAAGAGAGGGCGGGACATATCAAGCAGCCCCGCCCCTTTTTAAAATAGCCAATAGCGTTAGTTTATATCACAGCTTGGGCTAGAGCCGTTGAGCTCCGTAAAGCCGCATTTGACAGGGTATGCCAGCCACAATCTCATCCATATTGCTATAAAATATAGCATTCTGTGTAGAATTGAAATAGCTATGATACATTTAGTGGTCTGCGGCGACTTGTGCATGTGATCCGCTCCGTGCTATCGTGTCTCCGGAGCAGAGTGTGTGCGCGGTGCGGTGGTTAGCGTGACACAGCGCCAAACCAGACTTCTTACACTGCCTTATAGATAACCTTAAGATACTAACACCCAAAAAACTTTAATTTTGATTTCATGGGGACTTTAATAGATGTACCGCTGTCTATGACGTCTTAGTAAAAAACAACAGTAAAGATGAAGAAAAATTACTCACAGTTCTTGAATGGAAATCGTTCAGATAATCTTACTGAATACTGAAAGCACTCTTTGTTTGTTGTTTGTAATACGTTTCTATGCTCCTCTTTATTATTTGCTACTTGCTTGTATGTTTTGAAGTTACATTAGTTTAAAATTCTTAACATACAACTGTTTTAATTATTTTTTTTCAATTTGTAATTATTTTAAAAAGTACTTAATTACTTATGTAAGGGTATGTAAATGTAAGGATTTTAAGATTCTCAAGTCGGTAAACTAATTAATTAATTAGGGGGGGTAGATCAAGAATCTTTCTGGAATCTGACTAAAGATTCCCACCCCTATTTAAGAGAGACATTTTCTTGAGAAAAATGGATACACACCAGAAATATTAAATAAATAGTGCACTTCTAAGTATAACCAGCACTTGCCATTGTTGGGCTGAATTTATGTTGGACTCATGCATTACTGATAAATGCCTTTTAATTATTGCCACTTTACTTATTAGTTTTTTTTTTATGTTGGTAACTTTTTATTTGTAAATTAACTACTTTTATGGAGGAAATGTTTGAATAAATTGTTGGAAAATTAGTTATAGTTGTTATTTATAGCTATGGTTATGATTTATTGACAAATTAACCAAAGAATTAATCAATGAATAAAAAATAATCAACAGATTTATCTGGAAAAAATGTTAGCTTAACTGACTAAACAAAAATAATTGACAGAAAAAATTTATCATTAATAGCAATAGTATATAGTAAATCAGAATTGATTTGGCCCATGCCACTTGTCTGCTGCTGTTAAGTGTGTGTGTGTGTGTGTGTGTGTGTGTGTGTAAGAGAGAGAAAGCTGCACCTGCTGAAATCTTTCTCAGTCTCTAGTTCTTCTTCTCCATGTCCCAGACGCAGAAGGTGACGCTCATCAATGTCTAATGCCATAATCTTCTCAAACAGCTGGTTCAGAGCCTGACCAAGACAAACGCACACATATTCAAAAAATAGACATACAGTAGAGAACGGTTTCAATTATGTATTTTTTTTAAGTCCCTATAATAACTCACAGATGTTGAGTTTGGTTTAATGGTCATGATTTAGCAGTTGAAGTGACAGATTTGTGATCCTAACTGAAGCATTTCTTCAGTAACAGTGTTGTGTGTACCTGATTCGAGTGTGTGACGATAAGCGTCCTCTGCTCGGGGAAGTTGTGGTACAGGTTGGAGATGATCTGAACGGCCACGTCTGTTTTTCCTGTGCCGGGAGGACCAACAACCTACAGCAATGAGAAAGAGCAAGATAAACACACAGGGAGAGACTGACAGACACTTTCACTACAGATTGAAAACCAGCTAAAAACCAGCACTGAAAGAAATATCAGAAAACTGCAGTGAGATGAATATCTTTCTCATTATTGGCTGGGAGGAAAATATGAGGCAAAGCAAAGAACAGGAAAATTAGAAAAAAATAAAATAAGCTTATATATATATATATATATATTACGGTGGTCAGACGATTAAAAATGTTAATCAATTACACAATGTTTTGATTAATTAATCGCAAAAATAAATTTGACTGAAAATACCCACAAATTATTTAAAGCTATTTTTGTGTTTAATGAGAAAGTATCAAGTAGACATTATAAATTGTAGCTTTAGAAATAAATATATTACTTGATTCAACATAAAATGTATTACACAAACATTTAGGCTACAACGACCTAGCATAAACTATGGAACATAAAAGAAGTTCATTTTCATACAATGAAAGTCATTGGTAACCAAAACAGCTTTGTTACCAACAGTCTTCAAAATACCTTCTTTTATGTTCCACAAAAGAAAGGTTTGAAACGACATGAGGGCGAGTAAATGACAGAATTTTAAATATTTTTGGGTGAACTATCCCTTATTCCTTTAATGTTTTTATTTTTTTTTTTTAAATGATACTCTATATAAGAAACAGTAAACGCCTTTATGAGTCATTCATTCAACGGCTGATTCATTCAGGAATTAAGTAAATGGCTCTCGTTATGAATGGGCCTTTGAATAATTAGTTCACATGATTCATTCAAAACACCGATTTATTCAGAAACTAAACACCGCTGTGTTGCTCAAAGACGCACAACAATTCTGCTGTGGCTTTAAAGGTAATATAATCTTTGCAAAATTGAGCCAAAACTAGGGATGCACCGATCTGAACATTTTGGCCGATACCGATAACCGATTATTCTTTATTTTTGAAAGCCGATAACCGATATGTTGGCCGATAAATCTATATCCAAATTGTTATATACTTTTTGAGAGCCTGATTACAAAAAAGGTCTCATCATTAAAAGCCACATCCCAAACACTTCAACATAAGCAGCCTAGTCACATAATATTGTGTTGTGTTAAAATATAACACAATATCAACGTCACATTTACTGAACTGTTGTGTAACAATCACATTTAAACTCGTGATATTCAGGACAGAAACAGCACTTGTGTGATAGGGCTATTGCTCTCGCTGGTCGTGTGATATCACTTATCGTATGATATAAATATGAGACAAAAACACATTTTAGTCAAACCAAAATGTATTCAGACACCTTCAGCATTTCTCACATTATCACAGTTTGGAAAATGGTGATAAAATATGAGAAGAACTCAGAGCTAAACAGTGTCAGAAAAAAATCATCTTGATAATGTCAGATAACTTTGATAGAAAGGTATGTAATGAATTCGGTTGAATAGCTGTCAGCTGTTAAATTTAAGTACACAATTAAATAATACCAATTTAGGTCAACCAGTTACCAAGAAATGCTTAATTCTGTTCAGTCTGTGGTGTAAAAAGGTCAAATTAGCAATTAAAGAAAAAACACTTCTTTACATGGTCAGGTCAAAGTGTCTGAATAATTTTTGGGTATAATATGTCACAGTTTACTTTATTTTGCTATCCTCACTTACATAAAGTAAAGTGTCCTGCACCCATAGGTGCATATATATATACACACACACACACACACACTCACACACGCTCTCTCTTGCTCTCTCTCGCGCACACTCGCACGCACACTCGCACGCACGCACACTCGCACGCACACTCTCTCGCACACTCTCTCGCACACTCTCTCGCACACACACACTCTCTCTCGCACACACACACACACTCACACGTTCTCTCTTGCTCTCTCTCGCACTCACTCACTCGCACGATTAGAACACTAGTATTTTCAGCGGCTACAATTTTTTTTTTAAGTCAAGTTATTTCTATCGTCTGCTGTACTGTGTCATTAGGAAATATCGGTTTACATTTCCAAACATTCATTTAGCCATTAATTATAATAATCCAGTGAGAGTTTTGTTTGCTGCACACAGAGATCTGATCTGATCATCATCAATCTGTCTGGAGTCACATGAAGAAACAGAACAAACTGAGACCGACTCAATCCAGAAGAACTGTGGAGACGTCTCCAAGATGCTTTAAGAGACCTACCTTGTAAAATGAAATGCAAACTGATATTTCCTATCGACACACTACAGCAAAAGATTTTGTACCAGTTGTTATCTGGTGAATACTAGTGTTCTAATCATTTTGGCCACCACTGTATACATAAATAAAAACCGTGTTAGGTGTAATAAATAGATTTCTTACCATAGTAAGTCCCGGTTGCATCCCTGCACGAATGGCTTCTATCTGGGTTGATGTAAACTGGATTGTGTTTCTGTTGAAGTGGACAAAAATGGATGTCAGTGTTTCCATAACAGGCAAAGTTTATATGTATATTGAGTGCATCTTTGGCTGAGAGGCTGAACCAAGAACAGATCTTGGACTGTCTAAAAGGTTTGGCCCTGAACCTGTGACTGTGAGCATGAGCTCCACATACCGCTTGGGCTGGTTGTAGGGATACGGGCCCCTGTTGGGAATCACATGAGGCTCCACCACCAGCGTGAGATCTTCCTCATCTGGCTTCTCCTCCTCATTTGCTTTACGCTTTTTACCCTTCGCATTCTGTGCAGGGAATCGAATTCTGGTAGAGAAAAGAGACGCAATTTCAATCCTTCATCACAAATCATCCACTTACACAACTATTCAAAATTTTGGGGTTGGTAAGTAAACAAAATTATAATAATAAAGTTTAAAGAAATCTCTTCTAATCACCAAGGATTGCATTACAAAATAAAGTAAAAACAGTAATATTGCTAAATATTTTTGCTATTTAAAGGTGCATCTCCGAAAATGTAAAAAAAAACATTTCTTGGTACTACGCCTTCCACAGAATATGTATTTAGGGCTGTGCGATATGGACAAAAAAAAAACGATCGCGATTTCTTTGATCAATATTACGATTTAGATTTTAATCATGATTTTGACACACAAACATGCTTTACAGTCATTAAGTGTGAATTTGAGCTGCACACAGAGATCTGATCTGATCATCATCAATCTGTCTGGAGTCACATGAAGAAACAGAACAAACTGAGACCGACTCAATCCAGAAGAACTGTGGAGACGTCTCCAAGATGCTTTAAGAGACCTACCTTGTAAAATGAAATGCAAACTGATATTTCCTATCGACACACTACAGCAAAAGATTTTGTACCAGTTGTTATCTGGTGAATACTAGTGTTCTAATCATTTTGGCCACCACTGTATACATAAATAAAAACCGTGTTAGGTGTAATAAATAGATTTCTTACCATAGTAAGTCCCGGTTGCATCCCTGCACGAATGGCTTCTATCTGGGTTGATGTAAACTGGATTGTGTTTCTGTTGAAGTGGACAAAAATGGATGTCAGTGTTTCCATAACAGGCAAAGTTTATATGTATATTGAGTGCATCTTTGGCTGAGAGGCTGAACCAAGAACAGATCTTGGACTGTCTAAAAGGTTTGGCCCTGAACCTGTGACTGTGAGCATGAGCTCCACATACCGCTTGGGCTGGTTGTAGGGATACGGGCCCCTGTTGGGAATCACATGAGGCTCCACCACCAGCGTGAGATCTTCCTCATCTGGCTTCTCCTCCTCATTTGCTTTACGCTTTTTACCCTTCGCATTCTGTGCAGGGAATCGAATTCTGGTAGAGAAAAGAGACGCAATTTCAATCCTTCATCACAAATCATCCACTTACACAACTATTCAAAATTTTGGGGTTGGTAAGTAAACAAAATTATAATAATAAAGTTTAAAGAAATCTCTTCTAATCACCAAGGATTGCATTACAAAATAAAGTAAAAACAGTAATATTGCTAAATATTTTTGCTATTTAAAGGTGCATCTCCGAAAATGTAAAAAAAAACATTTCTTGGTACTACGCCTTCCACAGAATATGTATTTAGGGCTGTGCGATATGGACAAAAAAAAAACGATCGCGATTTCTTTGATCAATATTACGATTTAGATTTTAATCATGATTTTGACACACAAACATGCTTTACAGTCATTAAGTGTGAATTTGAAACATATTTACAAAAAACCAATTAGAGCTTTATCAAGAAGCTGTAACATGTCTCTAGAACAGACATAAGGCAAAATAATCACTAAGTAAAGGTGTAACAAAATGTCTCTAGAATAGACATATGGCAGAAAAAAAATTAAATAAAATTTTTTTTTTGCCATGCATTGGTCATAGAGCTCTTTGTGGCGTTGCCTCAGATGTTGAACTAGATTTGTTGCGCCAAGTTCACACGTACTCCGTCTGCAGTGCGTGTATGCAGTGCAGAAGAAGCACGGACTCATTTTGCTGTCGCACAGGACGCGTTTACAGTCCGCTCCTGATCTGCGGCTGTTTACCACAAACACATTTATCCATTATTTTGATTTCAAATCCAAGTTTGTTTCTGAAAATGCTTTTTCAGCATTGTGACTCTCTTTTATCGCAGTGCAGTACAGTAATACAATCTTTCATAGACATTCACGTTTAAATATAAATATAACTTTAACTACCACCATGAGTGCCATCCATTATTGCCTTATCTAAAAGTGCACTTTTCCTTGTTTTAAATCTAGCCAAAAAGCCATGTGTTGTCTGTGAAACAGTAGACTTTAATTATATGCATTTATGGAGTAATTACTAAATTTC